GACAACAGAAAAGTGGGTGGAGGGAGATGTCTTGCAGTGTAAGATATGACAAAATAATAATAATTTATAAATTACCAAAGGTTTATGAGGGATAGGGGAGCAGGGAAGGAAGGGAAAAAATGAGGAACTGATACCAAGCGCTCAAGTAGAAAGCAAATACCCTGAGAATGACGATGGCAACAAATGTGCAAATGTGCTGGACATAATGGATGGATGGATGGATTATGAGAAGTGTTGTACAAGCCCCCAATAATATGACTTTCAAAAAATGTGCTGAAAAGCCCGGCTTATACAAGAGTATACATGGTACTAAATGAAAGCCCTCCAATAAGCCAACTGAAAAAACCTAAGCTTAAATAAAACAGCCTAACAACTTAAAATTGTTTTACAAAGTTGTTTTTCAGTTCAGAACTTAAATCCTTCCAACTCAGTACAGAGAGATCTACTTCATTCTGACAGAATTGCATTGTATGGCATTATATTTGACTGACAGTAAAACAGGCAAAATGCAGCCCTAGTGGAGCAGCGGTTATATGTTCAGCCACTAACGGAATGGTCAGTAGTTCAAACTCGCCAACTTCTCTCCAGGAGAAAGATGTGCCAGTCTGCTTCCATAAATACTTACACCCCTGGAAAATCTACAAGCTGGTTCTATCCTGGCCTATAGGGTTGCTATGAATCAGAATCATGTTGGTAACAGATTTTATAATACACAGAAAGAAAACCATTAGCACAAATGGTAAATAATGCAGGAGGAAAACCTGGCAAATGACTTCCATAAACATTACAGCCAAGAAAACCCCATGGGTTGCTATGAATCAAAATCAAGTGAACATCACTTACCAACAGCAGCATGGAGTCTCTGTGTCGGGCGTGCAATTAATGTGCTCAGTGGCTATTAGTAAGGTTGGAGGTTTGAATCCACCCAGAAGTACCAAAGAACAAACACCTGGCCAACTACTTCAGAAAAGAAAACCAGCCATTGAAAATCCTAGGGGAATACAGTTCTATTTGGAAACACACTGCACTGATTTTATAATCTAAACCAAACTCAATGCCATTGAATCGATTCCAACTGATAGAAACCCTATAGGCCATAAGGATTTCCAACACTGTAACTCTTGATGGGAGGAGTAGAAAGCCTCATCTTTCTCCCAAGGAGCAGCTGGTGGTTTCAAACTGCTGACCTTGTGGTTAGCAACCAAACACCTATTCTACTATAAGCATATTTAAAATTATATAAAACACATTTTTAAGCATGTATGAAGGGGCTTCAAGAAGTTTATGGAAAATGTATATTATGAGAAAAAGAAAACCTGTGCATAAATTTGAAATGTTTTGCACCAACGTAAACTTGTACTAGCTTGGTATAACATATCTCTACAAGATCCAGTTTGGGGCACTAAAAAAAGGCTAAGATGAGTTTGAAATGATTCCCTACAAAAGCAGTGAATATTGCTAAAATTAAAGCAAGAACAAATATCATAATTATTGTGATACTTGGGTAGAAGAATGGTGAAATCACTAATGCTTTATGAAAATTTTACAGAGAAAATACCCCAAAGAAATCAGCAGTTCACAAACAGAGCATTCTTTTTAAGAAGGGACAAGAGGATGTTGGAGATGAAGTCCACAGCAGCAGATCACCCACATAAATTTCTGAAGAGACAATCTTCATAGCCTAACTGAAGATCGATGATTAACAGCAGAAACCATTCTTAACACAATAAACATCTCTGTTCAGCTTATACAATTCTGACTGAGAAATTAAAATTAAGCATATTTCCACTTGATAAACTCAAAACTCATTGCTACAAAATTGTTGCTGATTCATGGCAGCCCTATAGGACAAGGTAGAACTGCCCCTGTGAATTTACAAGGTTGTAACTCTACAATAGTATAAAGCCCTGTGTTTCTCCTAAGGAGCGACTGCTGGTTTCGAACTGCTGGCCCTGCAGGGGGCCGCTCAAGTCATAACCACTACACCACCAGGGCTCCTTTCCACTTCATGGGTGCCAAAAATATTGTACCGATATCAACTAGAGACAATAATCCAACTTTCGATAAAAATTTTAAACCACAAGGATCAAGATCCTGACACACTTCTTAGAAGAATTGTAACAAGCGATGAACATGGCTTTACCAGTACAAGCCTAAGGCCAAAGTACAATCAAGCCAATGGCTACTAAAAAGCAGAAGTGATCCAGTCACAGCAAAAGCAGACCAATCAAGAGCAAAGGTCACGGCAACACTTTGTGTGATGCTCAGGGCATTTTGTTTGCTGCAGTGCCAACACCACTCAAGAGGTTTTAGCAGAAAACACCCAGATAAGAGTATTTCTCCACCAAACAATTACCTCCGTTATTCCTTTCATCACACAAGTGCAATTTTGTGAGAATTTAGATGAAAAATCCTAGGCATTCACCTTACCGTCCTGATTTGGCATCCTCTGACTTTCTTTGTTTCTAACCCTTGAATCTTTAAAGGGCACTCATTTTTCTTCAGGTAATAATGTAAAAAAGACTGCATTGATGGGGCTAGACCCCCAAGACCCTCAGTTATCTAGATATGGACTAAATGGCTGGTACTGTTGCTTTCAAATTATCTTGACCTTGATAAAACTTATGTTGTGAAATAAAGTTCATACTTTTTGTGTTTATCTTTTGTTTTTTCTCATGAATTATTTAAAATCCTCTTGTATGCCAAAGTATTCTTAAGGAATAAGTTACTAAGCAAGGTTGAAGTGTATATATATTAAGAAAAATGTCAATTGCCATTCAAAAAAAGGCTTTGGGAGACATCTGCTAAAAGATGCGATAGAGGACAAAGACAGAGTTCTAAGTAAAAGTGATACAGCAGTTTAAAGGAGTTACATGCAGAACAAAAGGATAGAAATGATTATTAAACTCATGTGAAGGGGAGGGAGGGGGAAAAATGAGGACCTGATGCCCGGAGCTTAGGTGGAGAGCAAATGTTTTGAGAATGATGAGGGCAATGAATGTACAAATGTGCTTTACACAACTGATGTATATATAGATTGTGATGAGTTGTATGAGCCCCTAATAAAACTATATTAAAAAAATCCTCATGTGAAGACAATTACAGAGTAAAAACAGCATACCTGTGATGCCTGTTTACAGACCATAAGTCTGTAAAAAAAATTCTGCGTAATATCCATTGTGTTAGTCTAGATTCTCCAGAGGAACAAGCCCACTATATCTATGTATATGTCTATAGATAATATAAATGTCAAGGAAGTGGCTCACATAATTGTGGAGGCTTGGCAAGTCTCAAGTCCCTGGGTAAGGCATCCACCAGAGGCTACGGAACCCCAGACTAGCACATGACAGGGCAATGGGCTTCCAGGCCCAGGGTGCAAGGTGTAGACGGTGGGTGTGCTGACCCATTGAAGGAGAGCTGAGTTTCTTAATCCTGCCTTAAGGAGTAGGGTACTTCTGGCACTTGCTAAAGGAGCTGGGCTTGCTGGCCCTGGAGCAAGAGAGCGAAGCACCTTCAAACAGGTGGCTTACCAAAAAAGTAGGGTACCCTCAGGCACTGACTGATGGAATTAAAGAGCTTTGTAACAGAGACACAGCCAAAGAAACACATGGCTGAGAAGCTGTCCTAACTTAAGAACTGTGCCCTGAGTTGTCCCTGACCCCAAATTGCAGCCTGAATAAAGCCCATACTCCAGAGTATTGTCTGTGAGTTCTGCATGGCTATTGCAACAAACTATAGAACCCAAGAGAGAAGCAGAAAGTGCCATGAAAAAGACAGTGTCAGAACTGATAAGTGATGGAAGGGAGGAGGTAGGTCTTATGTGAACAGCATCTCCCTCATGAAGTTGGAGGAAGTACACAGCCGTTTTTACAGTGGGGCTCAGCGCAACGACTCCAGACTCGTGGAAGCAAGAGACTTAAAAGGGAAAGAGTAAAGGGTTTGGGAAAGTAAAACTTTTGATTCCTACATGGTTACTCAGGTTGTTGTTAACTGCAATGACGGAAAGGAAGCAATGCTACACTGCAGGTGAGGGGAGAAAAGCTTCAGGTGGAGGGTGAGACCATGGCCCAGATGAGCTCAGACAACAGAGGATCATTTTTTCTTTCCTTTTTTTAATAAATCATTTTATTGGGGGCTCTTACAGCTCTTATAACAATCCACTGTATCGAGCACATTTGTATATATGTTGCCTTCATCATTTCCAAAACATTTTCTTTCTACTTGAGCCCTTGGTGTCAGCTCCTTTTCCTCCCCCTCCCTCCCGAAACCTCCCACTCTCAGGAACCCATGATAATTTATAAATTAATTTTATTTTCATATTTTATACCACCCGCTGTCCCCCTTCACCAACATTTCTGCTGTCCGCCCCACTGGGGGTGTGTGGGGGCGTGTGGGGGGGTGTTGTACATCGATCATTGCAATAGGTTCCCTTTTCTCCCCCTACCCTCTTGGTATCATTACTCTCATTATTGGTCCTGAGGGTTTATCTGTCCTAGATTCTGTGTGTCGAATGAGAGCTCTTATCTGTACCAGTGTACATGCTCTGGTCTAGCCTGACTTGTAAGATAGAACTGGGTCGTGATAGTGGGGAGGAGGCGGCATTAAAGAACTAGAGGAACGTTGTTTGTTTCCTCGGTGCTATACTGCACCCTGGCTGGCTCATCCCTTTCTTGTGACCCTTTTGTGAGAGGATGTTTAATTGTCTACAGATGGGCTTTGGGTCTCCATTCCGATCCCCTTCATTCGCATCAAAATCCTGTTGATACCTTGTGATCACATGGGTTAGTGTGCTTCTTCCAAGTGCGCTTTCTTGCTAGGTGGCCGCTTGTTTAACTTCAAGCCTTGAAGACCCTAGATGCTATATCCTGTAATAGCCGGGCACCATCAGCTTTCTTCAGCACATTAGCTTTTGAACCCATTGTGTCTTCAGTGATTGTGTTGGGAAGGTGAGCATCACAGAATGCCAGGTTTTTAGAGTAAAGTGTTCTTGTGTTGAGGGAGGACTTGAGTAGAGCCCCAATGTCCGTCTGCTACCTTCGTATTTAACATATAAATATATATACATAGACCTATATCCCTATCATTATATATTAATAAATTTACATATGTACATAAGTATGTTTATACTTCTATAAATGTCTTCTGCCTATTTATTTCCTCTATTTCCTTTTATTTCTGCCTGTCCCACTATCATGTTTGACCTTCATTTGGCTCTGTGTACTTCCTCTCGGCTACATTGCACTTGATGGAACCCTACCAGGCATTCTAAGCCCTCCTCACCATCAATTTTTGGTCCCTTGTTGTTCCCTTGTCCCTGGGCTTGTTGGCTGCTCCCTCCTTTTCCCCAACCTCCTCCTCTTCCCTGGCCCCCAGAACCATCGGTCCCATTGTCTTCTCCTCAGGATTGCTTATCCTGCCTATAGTTCCAGGTCTGTCTGCTGAACCTTAAGAAATGTTTCCCGATCGGGTCTGATGCAGTGCCAAGCTCTGCCCCTGAGTCCAAAGTCTAATTTCAGGATTCCTCAGGGACTTTGTTGCTTTCTCCCCTTGCTGCTCTGTTGCGCCCCCTTCATGTTACTCCCCAGTATGGAGGACAGAGGATAATATTCAAGGCTTGAGAGCTAACTCAATTAGTTCTGCTGGATTTGGGGACTTGCTTGGTGCCCATTATTCCTTCTTTCTCTTCAATTTATTCTGTTTGCAACAGAAAAATCTACCTTGTGCCTACTCTACCACTGGGCTTTGGAAACAGAGAACTCGTAGTGTACGTTTCACAGGTGCATAGATGAAGAATTCTGCCCCTAGAGTGAGAATTCATATTTGATTCAGGTGATTCAAAAGATGAGATTTAAGACTTCTGAGGTGATGTTATGGTGTGAATGTTTTAAATGCGGAAAGACCACGGATTTGTGGGTCTCAAGTGTTATGCTACAGATTGAACTGTATCCCCAAAATGTATGTGTTCCAAATCTTAAACTCTGTGTCTGTGACTCTAATCCCATTTGGGAAGGAGTTGTCTTTGTTAAGTTAAAGACACATGGAGATCTCGAAGGAACCAGGAAGCAAAAGCTGCTGACACAGCACCTTCCCACAGAGCTGAGAGAGCCTTTCCTTAGTCAGTCCTCTAAAGGTGGACTTCTGAACTCCTAACCTGTGAGAAAATACATTTGTTTGTAGCCATCACCATCACTTATGGCATTTCTGTTTATAGCAGTACTAGATAACCAAGACTCTCATAGATTCAGAATCTCCCCTAAAAGCACTGCACAGAGTAACAACAATGTTCAGAACAGAGTGAATTACCTGGAGGTGCTCCTCAGGCACGGTCACAGGGCCGCACTTTGTGTGCTCTGCACATTCCCCAGTACAGTATCTGTGAGGGTCATTTTCCTTCCGCAGATATTGGTTTGTTGCACATTGTCTTCAATTCATTTGGACATTAGAGTTAATTATAAAAAAACAATAGTTTACAGCAGTTAAAACCATTGAATAAAATCAAGTCGTTGCTACAGAAAAGTGGACTAGGAAGAAATTTGGGTTCTATAAGAAACCCTCCTAATCTGATTTTTCAAAAATGCAAAGTACTTTATAAAGTCAGTATATAAATTTGAAGATGAAAATGTGGAGAACAGAAGACAATTACAGAAGACGGAAAAAGATCCATCTCCTAATGAAAGGATAGGGAAAGAGTGACTACACAGTATGCCCTTTTAATTCTTTTCAAATGCCTCGCACATTGATCTCAGAACCAGAAAAATTAATCACTTTAGGATAACAGTGCATAACATGCCGTGCTGCAGAAGGAAAGCCCGCCGCACAGTGGAGGACACCATCCATGTGTAGGAGAACACACCTGCTCAGTAAGATCGTGCCAGCTGGTCGACGGACCTGCAAAGTCCTCTCTAAATATGAAATAGCCTGTGGAAAAAGTTTGTTCTACATACAAGTTTTTAAAAAGGATGGGGAGAGAGAGACAAAAAAACAGAATTATTACCAAGGGATAAATTATATTTAAAACAAACACAGGATATTAATGACTTCCCTGTCGTCACTAAGTAGAAAGCTTAAATCTCAACGATTTATCTAAATTATTTCAAGTCTGAGACTGATTTAGGTGATTCCTAAAACTAAGGTGTTTTATGTTTAAAAAAAAAGAAAACTCTGTTCGGACCTTGCTGATTTCTGTGGCCGAAAAGGACTTGCCTTAATGACAACTCTCCTTCCCAAAAGTGTGAATCTGTCACAGCAAAAAAGCTCTGGCTTACCACATCATCAAGTCAGTTTATACTCAGGAGAATGAGCACTCCCATCAAGAAAATGGTGCTCTCAATAAAGCTCAAAAACACCTTTTCCCAACGTTCACTGGTGGTCAGTAGGGGCAGGAGGGAGGGGACAGGGGGCATCGCTGCTAAGTGGACGTTAGAGATAGTTGCCCAACATGATGAACGTAAGCAATGTCACAGAACTGCACATGTAAACACCGCTGAATTTGTGATGCATGCTGTTAACACATTAAGAGACAATACCAGCAGGTATACTAGCTCTGACCCACAGGTCGGTTTACCAACCTTGATTCTGTCTTACCATCTCAGATGAGTGGCACCTTCTATGTTGCCCTTGTTCCAGTTTAAAAGCTGGCAGAGTGATTGTTTGCAGAAAGATTTGAGAACAATGGTATCTTGAACTCAAAATTTTAGACCCATGAAAAACTAAAGAATCTGAAAACTTAAAAAAAATCGTCTAACTCTTTTCGGCATAACCTGCCCAAAAAAACATGCGAGAGAAAGCAAAAAAGAACTTGGGAAGGCTGAGTCAATGTTAAATTATGAAATCAGAAGACTAATTTAATATCAAACACAAAGATTTTGGAGAGTGCATCACAAAGACCTGTGGTGAAAATTAGACTCCATAGCAACACCCTATCAAACTTCCTATCGACACCTTTTAATTCAGTCATTCACAAAATAGCCCATTTATATTTTTCTTTGTGGAAGTAGAATTTATACACAATAAAATATACCTATTTAAGTATATTTTAAGCCAAGAGTTCTTTATGACATACCTTTACAAGGTATCTTTTTTCAGGGAGCAACCTGAAATGAAAACATAAAACAGATGAATTACCATGCTGGGGGCCAACCACTGTTTCTCTTTCATTCAGAACACCTCTTGCAAGAGCCCCAAGACACTGCTGTGGAAGCAGGCGCTCTCTGTCCTCAGTCATCTCAACTGACCTCACCTTGCCTTGGCTAGTGTGCTACATGCTAAAGCACTGCACTGGGGAGTATGTGTCATCTCATTCATCTGGGATGCTAAGGATGGACAAAGACATCAACTATTCCAACACTAAACCACTACAGATATAGAATTGATCTTTTTCTGGGATCCTCTAAAATACAAAAATTACATTGTGCCATCTCTCTGGGTAATAATTTTGTAAACTTTCTGATTGTTGTATATATTACTTTCTCCTCTTATTTTTCTGCCAACCACTTATTTTAGCAGTGCCTTTCAGATCTGCTATTGACCACATCCAAGGACATTCATTTTGTTTAAATTATTCATGAAACACAGCCTTTAATCATATTTCAAGGCCTTCATTTTCCAGAAAGTATTTTCATCTTGAAGCTTACTAGCCTTTATTTCGCTCCATCTATGGACTTAAAAATTTTTCAGTTAAAAAATGTTTTTCTAGTTAACATATGCAAATATCTTTAATATCTAAAGTCACAGTAAAAAAAAAGATGAAAAAATTGTGGTATACTTACTCTTCAATACTTTTATCATAGACAGTCTTGATCCTTAAGTGCTCATCAATATCTCTCTTTACAAGATGATTTGTCTTAAGATAAACCTTATTTATGACCTAAAAAGGAATAAATTTGAGATTAAAATACATTCCTATATACACACGGTATATACATATTAGTCAATAAACAACTGAATTTAAGAGTGATGTCTAGAAACTCCCCGGCTTCTCGCATCCACCATTACAACATTTGGAGCCTCAAACAGTCAAAGGCACTATTATCATTTGGGAGGCAAGCACTATGAGTCACATGACTAAATATATCCTTACGGTGACAGCAGCTACCAAAAATTTTTGGATTTTCTGTCATTTGCTTGAAAGTTTCTTCTATGGATACTCACATTGTTGAATGATGTCTCAGAAAATGATGAGAAGAGAATAAAAGAATATTGCTATTTGAAAAGAGAATAAAGAAAAGTGTTCAACAAGAGTGTTTCACTTTGAATTTTTTCTCCAGATCGTTTACATGATTTTTTCAATGAAAGAGGAAAAAATGATTAAAATGGTTTCGGCAGTATCAAGATTTCAGGTAGCAGATTATTTCATATCTAACAAAAAGCCATTGAAAAGGTGCAAACACACCTGCTTGTGTGATGAGGTGTCGACAGAAATGGGCATCAGAAGTTCAAAAACAAGCAATCAAATTGACATGAAGGAGCATAGACAACATGGAGACCCCAAAACCACCTGCAAGATACCTGGACAGCCCTCACAGAAGGGCCACCTGGAAGAGATGATAGATCCAAAGTGCAGGATAGCACTGTTGAAACATATAACTATCGTTCCTCCCCCTGCTATTATGGCCTTATTCAACCTCATTAATCTTGTTAGACCTGCGTATGTTCACTTATATAATAAAGATCATTCAATGCATGAAATCCAAGATGGATAGACCCTTCAGAAATAGTCATGGGAGTAATGGTTCCCTGAGGGTACAGAAAGAGTGGGAGAAAGGGGAGGGAGGGGAACTGATAGCAATGAGGACTGTATAACCCCACTCGAGGGAAACAAATAACAGAACGATAGGTGAACGGGTACACGGGATGGTATAAGATATGGCAAAAACAGTGATGATGATAATAATATTTCATATAATAACAAGGGTTCCTGGAGGATAGGGTGGAGGGTGGGGATAAAGAGAGGCTGATACCTGAGAGTGCAAGAAGGAAGAAAATGCTTTGAAAATGATGGTGGCAGCAATTGTACAATCATGTCTGATCTAATTGAACTACGGATTGTCACAATATCTGGAAGAGTTCCCAATAAAATGGAGGAAAAAAAGTGTGAACAAGGCAAAAGGGTATTATATCCCCAGCTGCATTTTAGGAAATCTAGAATATAAAATTGTTAAATTGAGACTCACAATCTTCTAGGAGCCAGCGGTTAAGGATGTGGGGCTTTAGAATTAGAATCTAAATTAGAATTTAGACTGATTGGGTTCTACTGTTAGCTCCACTATTGCTAATTCTTTGATCTTCGGTAAGTTGTACAAATTCTCTGGGTCCAAGTTTGTGTGTAGAATAAATAACATTTTAAGTTAATATATATAAATCGCTTGATACAACTGATGTATGGATTGTTATAAGAGTTGTAAGAATTCCCAATAAAATTATATATATAAATCTGAATGAAAATAAATACTCAGAAAATGGTCAGTATTATACAGGTATGTGTCACTCAATGTCCACAGTATATTCTTCTGTGAAATAGGACGTTCTGTGATCTGGACCTTGGTGTCCCACTTCCAGTTGCTCTTGCTGCTGTTGCTGCCACGGCTAGTAGGGGCGGGAGCAAAGCAGAGGAAAGGAGCGGCAAAGGTGTGGAGTGTGCCCAGCCCACCCTTCCTCGTTGTTCTGCCCACCCGAGTATTCAGAGCAGCCTGGACCGGTAGGCCCTACTGCTGCCTGCCCACCAGACAAAGCCTTTGATACAGGGCCTCCAGTCATGTTCTCTGCCTCACCCGCCTAGATCCCACCCACGGTCCATCCAGAGATTGGGTTTGGGATCTTTAAAACCAATGGGGGAAAATAAAAAACAGAAGTGCTTAAAAAGATTTTTTTTAAACCATCTACGGGACCACAGATATACATCCAGTTGGATACAGTTGGGCACTGTTCAAAAGGATGCTAAGTTATCTGCACGTGTATTATCATTAAAATCACTTTCTTCCATCTTACTTCCTATTGCTCCCCATTCCCAAACAGAACTATTCAGGATTTTCTGCCCACATCCTGATTACCTGCCCCTTCATTTGTTCACAATGTTCCTCAGGCTTGCTTATGCTTTTCCCTCCCCTGGAAATTGCTTTCTTCCATAAATCAGAAGCCTCCTCTTCCAGGACGAAGAAGGTCATGGGAGAAGAACTCGGAAACTACCCTAACCTGCTCTACGGTAGAAACAATCCCTTCTTCCTCTGACTTTCATACTATTACCTTTACGACACATCATTTTCTATGTGGAACTATAATTAGTTCAACTATAATTAGTGCAGACACTTCTGCACTAAAACACAGCACAAGCATAGGTCAATACATCAATTTCAAACACTAAACTATGACGAACATATAATTAGAAACAAAATACTCACTGGGACAAATGAAACTATCAATCAACAACACTGATGAAATGAATACGCAAAAAGTAAAACATTTTGAAATAAATACATTGACATTTTTCTTTAATGCTCAACATATAGAAAAATAGATTGGTGAGTCAAGATGCAAAAAGAATCCAACAGATACATGAGACAAAAGTAACATCATTCACTCATTTAAACAAGTGCAAGGTACCGGGGATACAGACATAAAGTCCTTAACCTCAAGGGACTCATGGTCATTTAAGGTCAAATAAATTCAACAATGGCTGTAATAAAAATGAACACAGATCACAAAAAGGAGTAACTTAATTCAGGCTTAAAGAAGGACACGAGGGTGAGAGAGTGGGGGAGGGAGGGACGGAAAAAAGAGGAGCTAATAAGGGCCCAGGTAGAAAAACAATGTTTTGAAAATGACGATGGCAACATATGTACAAGTTTGCTTGATAAAATTGATTTATGGGTTGTTATAATACCTGTAAGAGCCCAATAAAACAATTTATTTTAAAAAGAAGAAGCTACTTCAAGAAGAAGGTAATGGACAAAGGGGCTTCAAAAAGTTTACTGAAATTTTTCATTATCTTTTCATTTGATTTTGCTACAATCTTACTGCAGTCCACCTGGTCCGAGAAAAGACTTGAAAGAAAAAATAAGGATAAGCAGGCTCCTGAACTTAGATTCAACAAACCAAACTAACTGGAATCAAGTCAATTCTGATTCATAATGGAAGAATCTACCCTTGACATAGAAAAACTAGTTAATTCAACTTACAAGTTGAAACTTTTTGCCTAAAAGCACTCCCCAAACCAATGCCTCAGAGTGACAGAGTCACAGATGGACTGGTTTGAAGAGTTAGAAGACAGTTCAAGACTGGCAGCATTTAACTTTTTTTTTTTTTCATTTTATTAGGGGCTCGTACAACTCTTATCACAATCCATACATACATCCATTGTGTCCAGCACAT